TGTGTGTGTGTGGTTGACATAGAGATGCTACTCATATCCCCCTGCATGAAAGAATTTGCTACCCCACTTTGCAAAAACAGGTTGGCTGGCAGTCCAGCCATTAACATCTTCAGCTTTCCAGCCATGATGAACACTTCTCTCACCTCAGTTCCCTGTCAATGACTGGGTGAGACAGTGATATAAGATCTTAGCCATTTTCAGGCACATGGAACTGCTCTCATGGACTATCTTTCCTTTACAGTATTAGGTATGTTAGCAGAAATTTGTCAGCTTCGCCTGGTGGTTTGATGCTCCCTGCCTAATCTGTTTTTCCTCATTTCTCCCTCATAGATGTTATTTCCCAATAAAGCACTGTCACTGCAGTATTTGTTTCCCAGAGAACTCAACCAGCAATAATTACTATTCACTTGTTATCAGACATAAAATTTTTAGTGAAGAGAGAGTAAGAGTTAAGGAATTATAATAAAACTTATGTTCATTTGGAGGAGGCTCTTTCTTGGGTGTGGAGACCTCCAGCTGCTTATCTGGAATTGCTCACTTGGCTTGGCACAGCCAAACCACTGAGGCCCCCATCCTTATTCTCAGTTCTATAGTTTTTTTTTGTTTATTTGTTTGTTTTGTACTAACTTCTTTGCATGTGATGTTTTCCAGTCATCTGTAGACCACTTTCTGGGTTCTCCTGTCTATGTTGTCTTCTATAGTTGAAGGGATAGTCAGGTTTATATTCTGTTGGTGTACTATGTTTTCTTGTGTTCTTATTAACATAGAGAGAACAGTCTCTTTAAAATTCTGATTCTCTCTTTTTTTTTTAAAGATTTATTTATTTATTCATACAGAACTGGGGTACAGGCCAGAGGCAGAGTAGGGAACAGAACAGGCAGATTGATGAAGTACACTGCTAGGGGAGCAGCAGGAGGGTCAGGAGAGGTCTGCCACACCACGTGGTCACCTCCCGGGCAGGCGGGAATCAAACTCATGCTGAAGTGGCTTTAGCTTCTCAGTGCTGTGCTTCAACCCGCTGCGCCACCAGGGAGGGCCAAAATTCTGATTCTCTTAATGTAACTCCTTAACAAAACGTAGTCCAATTTTACACTTAGTTCTTTTTGTTTCTTATCCACCTCTATGTGATTTTGGTGTATATTGCAAAGTGAATACCTATTTTGATTTCCCTCCCTCAAAGGATCCACTTGCCTCTGCACAAATTATGAATAATCCATCCTGCCCAGCATTTGGTCTCTGACTGACAGAGATTGTGAGTTCTCCAGGCAGTATGTAAGATTGGGCTCATTTTATTTATTACTGAAGTCATTTTGTTTTGTGGCATCCATTTCCCACACATTTTTCTGCCATTTTTAACTTTTCTAACTAGTTGTGTATATTAATAATCATAAATATTTCTAGTCTTTCAAACAAATAGATGTAACATACCTGGAACATCAAAATTTTCTCTTTTGACCTGCACACATTTTTGTCTCTAACCTCTGCTCTGATTTCTTGATTCTCACTTTATTAAGAGAACTTCAATATACTGATATGTGTAAGGTTTTATCTCATCTTCTTATTCTAAACTCTCTCCCAAAGGATCTTGTATACATGAATCTTCAGCTGCTGTGTAGCTTATATACCAGTCAGATCCATGTATTCAGTTGCTAGATCAACATCCACTAAGATAGTCCATTGACATCTCAAATTCGAGGATGTTCACAACCAACTTGATATGTTTCAGTTACACATTCCTTCTGCATTTTATATCTTAGATAAAAGTATTGCCACCTTCTAACCATTGGGGATTTCCTCCCTTTCACCAGGAGGAATCATTCTTGAGTCCTCCTCTTACCACAATCACCCTACATGCTTTTTTTTTTTTTTTTTGACAATTTTGCCTCCTAAATATTGCTTTTCCTCTTCCCTACTTATACTGGTCCAAGGCATTTTATTCCTTGTTTGTAATAGTACCATTGCCTCTTCGTTGACATTTCTGCTTCTCTTCTCTGGTATCTTAAAGTGACCTCCAGCTGGAACCTGTTCATGGACTATACATTGCTCCATGAAAAAAATTAACCCCTGGCTTTGCCTGCCTCTAGTCACATCTTCTCATCTTAACCACTTGTCAGCCTTGCTGACTCTTTTGCTGCTGCTGTTCTTTCAGGCACCATATTGTTTTTGCCTGTTGGCTTCATATGTTCTTTTCTGGTTCTTTTCATTACTAGGTTAATTTAATTAATTCATAAAGTATCAGCTTGATGTCCTCTCTTCTAGGCAGCTTTACATGAAGCCCCAACTGATAAGAGCTACTTTCCTCCTCAACTATATAGCAGCTTATTCAAACTGCTCTCAGATATCTATTTTTGGGAATGATATTTTCTTTATCTCTTGGCCACTAATCATGAAACCTTCAGAAGTAAAGACTAAGTATTTTACTCATGTTTATGTCTATATTAAATGCCAAGCTTGGTATCTAGAATGTAGGTTTTTTTCACTATGTGGGATTTAGAGAGTGGTGTGCGTAGTTGTGTTTAAGTGTGTATCAGCATTATCACATAGCAAAAAAAGATATAAGGTGCCATTTACAATTATGGGACAAAAAGATAACAACTCAGCATGATCTAGGATAAATCTGAAATGCAAATGTAAGAGAGAATTTATTTTAGTGATTTTTAGCGTGCTTTCAGATATGTACTATTTTACTATATCCATTAAATACATATTGATATGACTATACATACATACATAGCAATATATGTACATAGCAATATATGTATTTGTATATATTTTATCAGGAATAAACTTTGTACAGCATGCATCACTGGACATGAATTTGTAACAGATCATATATAACTACATTTATATTTTGTTGCCCTTGAACAATTCTTTTTTAAGTTATTTATCATTTATTTTTGTTTGATTTTTCCTCTGTGTTTGGGATTAAAAAATAACCACATATTTTAACATTTTTTAACTATAAATGTTGTTGCTAATCCAGAGTTATAAGGAAAAACAATGTATATTTTGTGTTAGTGTGAACATAGGACCAGAGCAAAGATTAAAATTACCTATAAAATTCACAATTCATGGGCCCTCCCTGGTGGCGCAGTGGTTTAAAGAACAGCACTAAGAAGCTAAAGCCACTTCAGCATGAGTTCCATCTCTGCCTGGGAGGTGATTCACATGGCACGGCAGACCTCTCCTCACCCATCCGCTGCTTCCCTCAGCAGTGTACTTTGTCAGTCAGCCTGTTCTGCTCTTCCTTCTGTCTCTGGTGAATCCTCTCCCCGCCATTGCACCTCTGGCCTGTATCCCAGCTGTGTATGCATAAATAAAATCTTCTGGCCTATACCTCTGTTCTGTATGCATAAATAAATAAATCTTTAAAAAAAATTCACAATTCACAAATAAAAAGCATTTAGAATTCTTTTACTATGTATTTATTTGAACACATACTGTCTGACAGAAATACTTAGGTGCTGGGTATACATCAGGGAGCAAGGTAAAAGTGTTCTTGATGTCACGGAGCTTGTGCTGTGGCGGAGAGAATATACATTGAAATGAATAAACTATTTAGTAACAGCCTTAAAACTAAGAATGAGGACTGTCAAGACAATAGTACAAGTGGTGGAAAAGCTTGAGGTGGGGGGAAAAGAGTCAGACTCCTGAGTTAGAGTGCTCAGAAAGGCCTCTGTGAGGAAATGATGCTTGAAATGCCACACACTGCATGGGATTATGGTGATGGCACACGGGTGACTCGGTGATGGGAAACCCGCGGGGATTACAATTGAGATGGAAAAAAAAAATGTACAAAATGATGTAAAAAAAAAAAAAAAGAAAAGAAATGCCACCCACATGGAAAGGAGTTACCACCCATGTGATAGTGTGGGGCAGATACACTGTAGGTCAAGGGGTTATTTATACTGACCTTTGTTTGAAGGAAATTTACCTGTTGTGGCTTACCCCAGGAGGTGTTCTTATATGTTCCTTTATTATTGAGTGAGAACAAATAAAATAAGTACATTTATATGTCATGACCCAGCTGGAAAGTTAAGACAAAACAAAAAAAATGATAACATAGTAAAGCAAAGCAAAACAAAACTGTAAGCTGGTTCTAGTAGAGGAAGCAGTTTATTGGTTACCTGGGGATATAACTTATACAGGAGATTTGGATATAAATAGTTTTACCTTAATTTTTCAAAATGTTAAAATATTAGGTTGGATAAATCTAGAGTGAAGATTTCCATAGTGATATATTGTCAATACTTTATATGAGTATTTTGGTCAGTTTTTGCAATTTCTGAATTTTTAAAATAAGGTGATTGCAGATGAAGAACAAAGAATGTTATTTCCCAAAAAAATGAAAGTCTTGTGTTTTTTTTTTTGTTTGTTTTTTTGAGAAAAGCTACAGATACTCTTGTGGACCATTAGTTGTTCTTTATTACAGCATATCTACCAATAACTACAAACCTAAATGGGTTCTTTGGTTCTTTTTTTTTTTTTCTTTTTTAGCTATTTAAGAAACTTGCCACCAATTTCATTTTCTTGTTCCATTGAATTGTTTACTGTCTCATCTTCTTTGTTGCTCATTTTTGTCTCAATTCTGTTCCTTGTCCAAAGACTCAGTGATTCAGTAAAAATGGGAAGTAGATGAGGAAACAAAGAAATCTGGGGATCTTACATTTGAGAAATTATTCTTTAAATATTTATGAAATGGCTATGATTTGATTAAGAATAAATTATCGTTTTAGGGTTTTTTTCTTATTTTCCTTTAGGGAAATTATATACATAAATTTATACAGTAACCTCTTTTAAATGGAGAGGTAAGTTTGCCTGGAACAAGTAAAAGAAACTATTGGATACGAGTATAGGAAAAGTATATTATTTATGTGATTATAAATAGTTTTCCCCTTTTATATTTTTATATATATATAATAAGCCTATCATGAAAGTGTGTAATTTCATTTGTTGTTTATATTCGCTTTATATCTTACTAGATTTTGTTTATTTTATAGAAAATACTGCAATTTCTACCTGAACGAATTTTCTTTCGATGGCATTACCAGAGTATAGGTAAGAACAATTAAAATTTTTAAGAGGTAATATAGACTGCTTCCATTTTTAGTAATGTTTCATTTGATTAACACCATCAAGATAGATTATAGCAAGGAATGTTAACTAGAATGTGCAAGTTAAAACTGAGATAACTCCAACCCAGATCTTGGAGGAAAATATATCTGTCTCTTACTTTAAAAGTGCTACTTAAAGTGTGTTTTCTAAACCAGCAGCAGCATCCTCATGTGAGAGCTTGTGAGAAAATTCAGAATCTCAAACTCCAATACAAATGCAACCACAGTTGTATTTTTAGTAAGAGTTCTAGGCAGTTCTTGTGTACATAAAATTTGAGAAACATTGATTTAGAGTATTTTCCTTAAATAATTTTCCTTACAAAAATAGCTTGTTCTTCAAATTTTTGACACTGACTCAAGCAAATTCTGTTTGAATGCCTTAGAAGATGGCAGCAAGAGGGAATCTGAAATAAAGCAAGTTAGTTACCATGGTTGCCCTGTCTGATTCTTTATATCTAACAGTTTCATCTCAGTTTAATATTCACAGTACAACTGAAGTAGCCTGTGGTATTGATTGTGAATTCTACTTTCTGTTTAAAAAGTATGTGGCTTAGTCCACATACTTTGAAGAGTCTGACAAATCCTAAAATTTTTCTTCCTAAACAGATAGTCAAATGTGAGGAATGTATGCATGCCTTTGTAACAGAATCTTAACTACTTGATTATTCATATATTCAAATATTTATTGAAATAGAGATATTTGTATGCAAAGCTCAGTAGGAAAAAACAAAGAATGACTTCATCACTCTTGTCTTGTATAAACTGGTTACCCTAGCAGGAATTAGGTAAAAAATTATAGTACAACTGCTACTAAAATAGAAATGTAATGGTAGCAAAAAAGAGAGGCTGAATAATTCTGTTCAGCGTGAGGAAAGAAGGTTTTAAGAGAGAGGAAAGTGATTTTAAGACACTTGAAAGATAAAAGTGAAAAGTGTGGAATGGGCTTTCTAGGAGGGAGAACAATATGTAAGAGACAGGCAACCTAGAAGAACACGGAACTATCAGTGGACAGTCCAGAATTCAGAATCGCACATTTAGGATAAACTTTGTGAAAATGTAAGTGACTCTTATAAGCTGAACTATTTAATGTTATATGTTGTAAATGTAAAGAAAGTATATTAAATGTGTTCACTGAATAAATTATTACTTCAAGATAGTGCCTTGAACTTTAAGTCTTTAAATCTAAACATGCCAAGAAAATTTTGCTTTAAAAGTTAGAGTTATATCATTTATATTTAATTTAACCTTTGAGCTTGTGTATTTAAAGTAAACTAACAAATTTAAAAGCAAAGTTTAATTTAAAGAGATATCATAGAGATTTGTAGTGTTTCATCTTGTAGAAAGAATTGATGACAATGGAAATAGCCACATACAATATTTTCACCTGTGCTAGATACATTTCCTTCTTCAATTCTATATTATTTGTTGGAAAACCATCCTCATTTACTCCAGATAATACTTTAAAATGTTTAAAGTATAGTAGGCCTCCTCAGCACTAATGAACTAATTAGAACTCTATGGCAATTTATTTATCACTAACCTCTAGTAAGCTTCTAGTAGGCACTAGAAGGTGTTATAGCCATGACATGTACTGGTTAAAATTGCTGAAACAAGGAGCTTTTCATCCAATTTAATAGCATCTTACTGAGAATAGTGACTCCGGGATTGAGCTAGCAGAGTACCACTCTGGAATAAACTGGCTCTATAACATGGTCATAGTGTAGTATGCTTTAGGATGATAAAGTGTGAGTATTTGTATAGAAAATCATCTGTGTGACTTATCAATGCTTATATCTTTAATTCTTGAATAAAACATTCAGAGGATTGTGACCACTACCAGCTGTAGTAACATTTAAAAGTTTATATGGAGAACAGCATTATTTTACCTACTAGGTAAGAGGTACTGTTATCTAGAATATATAAAACCTAAAACCAGGCAATGGCTTCCCTAGTCTCAGAGAGTCAAACGTATCTTGTTGGATACGTTTATTTTTAGAAATTTTTTGTTCTTTTAAATTAATTAATTAATTAATATATATTTTATATCATTGTTAATTTTATTATTACATCGTTTGCTTTCTTTTCACAGGTGTAGTTCCCATAAAATTCCCACCACCAATTCCCCTGTGCACCATCACCATAGTCCCTTGTACTCTTCCCTCTCTTGTTTTGGTCCCTCTTCCCTCCCCTTACCTATGGATTGTCTGTGATTTAAAGCAGTCTGTTCATTTGTTGTTGTTGTTGTTTTTAATTGTTACTGTTTTTTTTTCTGTAACCCCTTACTTGGCCCTCTATATTCCTCCTATAAGTGAAATTGCTCGATGTTTTTCTTTTTCCTTCTGACTTATTTCACTGAGCATGATCCCTTCTAGCCCCATCTGTGTTGCTGCAAATAACATTAGCTTTTTTTTTTTTTTTGATTGTTGAATATTTCGTTGTATATATGTACCACATCTTCTTGAGTCAGTCATCTATTTTTGGGCATTTGTGTTGTTTCCAGGTCTTACCTATTATGAATAAAGCTGCAGTAAACATAGGGGTACAGGTGTCCTTTTGAATTAAACTTTTTGTGTCCTTTGGGTAGATTCCTAGAAGTGGAATTGCTGGGTCATGTGGAAGCTCCATTTTTAGTCATTTGAGGAAACTCCACACAGCTTTCCATAGTGGTTGGACCAGTTTGCATTCCCAACAGCAGTGTGGGAGAGTTCCTTTTACCACATCTTTACCAATATTTGTTGTTGCTAGTATTTTTAATATGTCCCATTCTTACTTGTGTAAAGTGGTATCTCACTGTGGTTTTGACTTATATTTCCTGGTAATGAGAGATGTTGGACACTTTTTCATATGCCTATTGCCATTTGTATTTCCTCACTGTAGACATATCTTTTAAATTCTTATGCCCATTTTTTGACTGTATTGTTTATTTTTAAGTTGAGTCATTTGAGTTTCTTATATATCTTTGTGATCAATTGTTATCAGTTGTGTGGCCTGCACAAAATTTTCCCAATCAGTGAGGTGTCTTTGTTTTGGTTAATATCTCTCTTGCTACACAGAAGCTTTTTAGTTTGATGTAACCCCAGCTGTTTATCTTTTCTTTCACTTTCTTTGCTTTGGAGGGATGAGTCTTTAAAGATGTTAGCAAACTGTATGTATTGTAATATTTTACCTATGTTTTCTTCTATATATTTTATGATTTTAGGTCTTTGTTCAGTTCTTTTTATGTAAGTATAGATGTTTAATTATTAATCAAACTACATAGAAATAGGTGTTAAGCAGGTTCACATCCTTCTTATGATGATCTTCAGTCTAGATATGCTCTGGAATCAGCATTCTTTAGAGTTAGAATGGCAGTTATTGACGGGTACATTGTTAACATGTTTTGCCCCCAGAGATATGGGTAGCACTTTATAGTCAGGCAAGTTTGTTACTTCTGTAGCCTAAGATGTATGTATTCATCCGTGCTAAACCCAAATTGCCTTTGTCAGGTTAGTCAGGCATTGCTGCTACATGAATTCAGATCAAATCAAATCTTGTCCACTAGTGACTTATACAAAAAACCCTTCTTTTCATACATAGTCTTTTGAATTTTTAAAAATTATGTTTATTGAGGTAATGTTGATTTATAACACTGTATATGTTTTCGGGGCGCAGGTTCACATGTCTACAAAATTTATTATCACATCATACCCAAGCCTTTTAGATTTTGAAATTACCCATAAGGGGTTGTAGATTTGTAATTCCATACATGTTTTTACTTACCTCACTGTACCTATTGCATTCCTTCCAGTAGATTTGAATCTTTTAAGACTTGCCATTTGTCACTGAAAGTTTTGACCAAGTTAGTTGTAAAAACTAATCTTGGCATCTTGAATTCTGCAAAATCACTGAGACTAGGGCAGGAATATTTTCACCAGTCATTGCCTGAAATTCTAGGTATGAAATAGTTCTTATTTTAGGCCTTATACTTTGTAGATACCTAGTATCTCTTACTAGGAAAAATACTGCTGTGTTCTATATCAACTTTTAAATGTTCTTGCAGCTGGTAATGGCCACAATCCTCTAAAATATTGGATTAAAACCTTCCAGTTTGGTTTACATACCACTTCCTGTCTTGCACTACAAATGACAACTTTGCTAGGCATAGAAACCTAAAATAAAAGCAACTGTCAGATTCTGCACACCTTGCAAGCTTTCAGTCCAATCCTGAAACAGAGTAAACTGATTTGAAGTGTAAGCTGCCACAGTGTTTGTCTGTTTCTTATCACATCAGCCTATTTTTTCTGTAGTACATCTAGTACATTCTATTTTTCTCTACACTGTTTTTAGAGGGGAAAAAATAGTTCTTTGTTTAAGGTTTTTAAGGCTGGTTCCTTGCTGTAAATCATAGTATAAAGAAAACGTATTTCCACTCTTGAATTTTTAAGTGAACATGATTCCTTATTCTAAACATCTGGAAATACTGCTTCAAGTCATATTTTTAGAATAAGATTAAGGAAATGACTGACACTACATTCATGGTCTTTGTGATGTGTGCTATTTGTCTGATTACAAATGGAAGGAAGGATTTGTTTATAGAACTTTTAGTGAAGTAATCATGGCAGATAAAAGCGACTGCTTAAAGCTTTTTCTCAGCAGAGTGAGAACTGATCTGACATCAAATGAGATGACAAAGAATGACCTATCAGCAAAGTAGGATGATGCAAGCACAGGCTGTGGCACCCATAATGTACCCATGTAGTATCAGTACAAGACTCAAGTTATATGTGTGATATACATGCATTTGCTATGAGGGTTTAATGCTCACAAACCTTTAGAAAGGTTTCCTGTCCCATAATATGTACAGTTCCTGTGTTCAGTAAATGTTGGCCAAATGGGTGGAAAGATCTATCTGTCTGGCTGTCTACCAATCATCTCATCTATCTGATTTTTATTTTTTGTAGAACT